CAGGATTACAAGTTGCTTTGCACGCCATTGGCGACCGCACAATCCAAATGGCAATCGACGTGCTGGAGAAGAACACGGACAAATCTCGACGTCCTCGCATCGAACATCTCGAGCTAGCGTCCGCTAGAGATGCCGCTCGTCTCGGCAAACTCGGCATCACAGCATCCATTCAGCCCGTTCACTCAGACCCGGCTATCCTGCGTGCCTGGCCACGTCTCATCGGCCACGACCGCTGCAAGCGAGCCTTTGCCTATCGTGAGTTTGCAGATGGCGGAGCCCCTTTGGCGCTAGGATCAGATGCACCAACCGCTCCTCATGAGCCGTTGCCTAATCTATATGTTGCTACTACGAGGCGCTCGTATCGGGAGCCTGGACTCGACACGGTGGTGAATCCTCACTTTGCACTTACTATGTGTCAGGCTGTTGCTGGTGCCACGCATGGGTCCGCGTACTCAAGCTTTGCGGATCAGTGGACGGGAAGCTTGAAGGCTGGGCTGAAGGCGGATTTTGTCGTGTGTGACGTGGATTTGAAGCCAGAGAGCGTCGTGAAGGGTATTGTGAGAGAGACGTGGTTTGAGGGGAAGCAGGTGTACAAGGCCAGTTGAGTTGGCCCCAGGAGGAGCAGATTATGATTTCGGGGAGCCATGGCGTTGTATACATGAAGAAGTTGCTACTTAGATTTCTTGAGAAATGAAATGCTGAAGATTTGCCTGGTTTTGCTCACGAGTCATGGGTATGTATGATGAGGATAAATGAATGTCACGCGCACCGAGGCGTCCGGAAAAACCATTTCCCCACCTCGAAAATTACCAGAGCTACACCACCACTGCACTTCCGGCTGCTCAGGTCTAGCTCGCGATCACCGACAATCTGCTTGTCGCGGACCTCTCCAACGAACCGAAACCTTTTCTCTTACACAATAAGCCAAAATGACTGGCCGCGGTGGCGGCGGCGGTCGCCGAGTTTTGCTCCCTCCTATGTACGTCCAATCTGGTCGTTGTTCGCCGACAAGCGAATCTGCCCCGCCCTTAGATTGCGGTGGTTTGGAGGCTCGAGAGTGCTAACTTTGCATAGTAACATGATCTTTAAGCTGCTTCAATCCGTGAGTCGCAATCTGTTTCTACTCCTTCACGTTTGACCCGAGCCTTGCGACCTGACAATGTTGGCGAACGGAATACGGCGGCACTGCGTCACGAATCCACACACACAATAAAATCCATCGCCATCTCTGTCGCGGCGGGGCATACAGGGGCCTTTTTCTCAAACGGAGCGTAAGCTTATGAAGTTCTAACCTTGGATAGAATGCTACTGTCAGTGTTTGGCTGTACGAGCAGCTTTCGATCCGTATTGAGGGCAAGATCCGAGTGCGTACACCTATCAAGCCACAGTCTGTTCGTTGTCATGCTAACTGACTTGCTCAGGGATTTGACGAATTCATGAACCTTGTCATTGACGATGCTGTGGAAGTTTCTCAAGTTACGAAAACGAACGACAAGGAGACTAGAAAGCAATTGGGTATGGAACTTAACACTTGCACGAACTGCTTCGCAACTAACATTTTGTAGGCCAAATTTTGCTCAAGGGGGACAACGTTTCACTGATCCAAAGCTTGTCAAACTAAAACCACATCAACAATAAGCTATCAAAAAATTCGGCCTGCACTGTGGAGAGGGGTAAAACGAGATGCATGTCACGGGTCAAAAGCGTAAAATTGCGATGATGGAAACTAGAATTGCGGAATCAGAATTCGCAGGCGGTGGTTTCGGATGGCGTTATTGTTGTTCCTGAACAGGGACTGTTTGGTCGTTATTTGAGGCGCAATGTAACAACGTTTCGGGGCTTTGGCCCAAATTTGCTAGACTCTGTGGGTTGTGTGAGACTTTGGCTGTGAAGACTACTAAATTTGTGACTCATAGGCATCTTCTGTCATAGGTCTGCCAGCTGCACTACCAAAAGTGGAGAATCTCCTGGTAGTGCATGCTCGCTATCGTACCTCATATGGTGCCTCAACATCTTCCGCCGCCTCTCCTGCACACTTGAGTGGCTTTGTTTGGAAACCCCATTTGACCAATGTACTTACTACTAGTATTGGAGAAAACTTCATTCCATTGTAGCTTTTGATGATTTACGCCCTTTTCTATCACTGTTTACAATGCCACAGAGCAACAACTTGGGGCCGGCCGGTCACTGCCAGGACAGAAGCGTCCAGCAACCGAAGCGCGCAATGATCCCATATGGATTAGGAATTTGGAGCAGATGCAAGTGGTGCCGTTCCGCCAGCGGCTAACTGGGGTTTGGGTTTGGACTTCTCATTTGAGATTGTCATATAGCTGTCGTTGCAAAGAAAGATCCGTCTTCTGGCTTTTCCAGTTGGGAATAATGCGTTGCGCTGTTCAATGATGACCAGTTGCTTAACTCGCGTTTTGAAAGGGCTCGGTCTACTTCGTAGAAAGTCTCGGATTAATATAATTGGTTAAAAAAAGTCAAGGTCGGTACGTATCTCTGTGGATCATCATTATCCTACCTTTTTGGTGTTGAGGGCTGTAGGCACCTTCCTGCATTAACAGCTTGACCTTCTAGCTAGCCTCACGTTTCAACCTCGCAATAACATCATCGACAAGCAACGCAGGCAAAACGCTCGCCGCAGGCGGGCCCCGGAGAGGAAAAGGAAAACAAGCTCGACGAAATTCAATAGCTATAGCTAACCTTCTGGCAGCTTCCATCAACATGAGGCTTCAAACTCGGCAGCAGCAGCCTAAAGCGCGGGGCAGCTTCAAAAGGCTGGGATTCGATAATAGCAGCAAGCCGCAACCCAACGGACCCGATTTCAACAGCATCGAGGAGCTCGAAATCAATAGCTTCAAAGGCTCGAATCCAACAGCATCGACAGCCCAAAAGGCCTAGATCCAACGGCTTCAAAAGGCCCGAGTTCAATAGCAGCAGCAGCCCAACAGGCCCAGATTTATCAGCTTCAAAAGAATAAATAATAGCTCAAGGGGCTCGAATACATAGCTTCGAAAGTTTCGAATCCGGCTGCCGCAGGCAGGAGCCTGCTGCAAGCCACCCCCAACAGGGCAGCTTGGCTTACACCTATGGCAAAGGCTCCGTTTGCATCGGACCTAGTACTTACGCTTCAACATTCATAGCCAGGCGGTTGCCAGAGACTCATGACTCATCTTGAGCTCTGTACAACAGTTCCAACCAATCGTTATGAAACTCGTGCCCAACCTGAGATGGTGTCCAGTGGTTCGTGCGCGCGGAACAGCAGGTTCTGTCGACCAAGTTGTCAGACGAACATCCCCTACTTCCCTGCAACTCCATAGAGAAGACGCGCCAGAGTCCTCCACGAGGTTTCAGCTTTCTGGTCTCTCCTTTGTTTGCCCCAACAGTCAACATCCTATCCGCGAAGCCATCCTTCACAAAGACTTGAGAGGAGTTGGCACAACGAGTACCTAACCAGCACAGACTTCCCAAATTTGCCTTCTATGAATTTTCTCCGGCCTATCTTCTGCGAAACTCTTGAAAATGACATTTCAAACTGACATCCCGGCCAAGCAACAGCTTGTTGATGAGGTGCCCAAGCGCTTCAAAAGCATCAAATTCGGCATACAGTGAGGAAACCCTGCTCTTGAGCTATCGTCTCACATTTTTACTGACTGCCTGACCACTACTATAAAAGATCTAACCAAGACATCACAAGTCAAGCTGTTGTTGAGGTCTCAGACAGGTTGCTTTACGATATTGAGAATAGCCGCGCTCCTTATGAACATGGTCCACTCGATCCTCGTCTGGTGAGAATATCGCTAACTGGTAGCAAGCAGAATGTTGCTAACGAGAGGAATATCGTAGGGAACTTCAAGCAAGTTCGGAAAATGCTCTACATGCCACGAAACTCGACAGAATTGCAATGGGCATTTTGGCTATGTTAGACTACCACTACCAGCGTTTCATATCGGATACTTGCGGTTTATTGTGACCATCTTGCAGAACATTTGCAAAGTACGCCCTTTTCACTGAAAAAACACTGTACAATTCTAATCGACGCTTTCCAGACCTGTAGTCGTGTGCTACTTCAAGACAATGATAGACAAACCTTCCTCAAAGAGTTACGACGCCCTCATCTCGACAACCTTCGCCGAAGCCAGATTTGCAAGAGGATAAACGAGCAATGCCGTAAGGTCAAGAGTTGTCCTCATTGTACCTCCATCAACGGGCAAGTTCGCAAGACCGGCGTGCTTAAACTTACACATGACCAGTTCTCGTCCTACAATAAATCAACCTCTGCGAAAAAGGTGCCACCCGCAGCCAAGACCCAATTTGACGCATCATTTGTCATGGCTCGCAACCACAACTCGGAACTTGCTAAGCATTTACATAAAGCCGTAGAGGACCTTAATCCATTAAGGGTCCTTGGACTCTTTCAGCGTATCGGGCCGGTCGATTGTGAGCTTCTCGGATTGAACCCTTCAGAGGGCCGGCCTGAGATGTTTATCTAGCAGTATCTCCCGGCTCCTCCCGTCTGCATAAGGCCTTCCATCGCCCAAGACAACGCCAGCAATGAGGACGACTTGACTACAAAGCTAGCTGATATTGTATGGGTTAGTGGCATGATTCGGTCTGCACTGCAAAAAGGTTCCCCAATTCAGACTATTATGGAGCAATGGGAATACTTGCAAACCCAAGTCGCTATATATATTAATAGCGATATCCCCGGCTTGCAGCAACCTGGCTTTGGAAAGTCAATTAGGGGGATTTGCCAGCGTTTAAAGGGTAAGCAAGGGCGATTCCGCGGGAATCTCTCTGGCAAACGCGTTGATTTTTCTGGTCGAACCGTCATATCACCCGACCCTAATCTTGGTATTGATGAAGTAGCGGTGCCTCAACTAGTTGCTAAGAACCTAACATACCCAGAAAGGGCACAGCGGCAAAATATTGAGAAACTGCGGCGGTGCATCAGAAATGGTCCGAACGTCTGGCCCGGTGCCCAATACGTTCTGAAAATGCGAGAGGGAGGATACAAGATATCTCTCAAATTTGTTGATACTGAGCTAGTCGCCAACGAGCTATGCATTGGAGATGTTGTCGAGCGTCATATTGAGGATGGCGATATCGTTTTGTTTAACCGGCAGCCATCACTGCACAAGCTAAGCATTATGAGTCATTTCGTCAAGGTTCGACCTTGGAGAACGTTCCGGCTCAACGAGTGCGTTTGCAATCCATACAACGCCGATTTTGACGGCGACGAGATGAATCTGCATGTCCCACAAACAGAAGAAGCGCGTACTGAAGCGATGAGTCTCATGGGGGTAAAGCATAACCTAATCACTCCAAAAAGTGGTGAGCCGATTATTGCTGCTACTCAGGATTTTATTACCGCCGCGTATCTACTTAGTTACAAGGACCGCTTCTTTGACCGGAAGGCTTTTACGACGATTTGCATGCATATGTTGGACGGACGCAATCAGCTAGATCTTCCGCCACCAGCAATCATCGTGCCAAAAACATTATGGACAGGCAAGCAGATATTCAATGTCTTAATGCGTCCCAACAATCGATCACCAGTTATGGTCAATCTCGATGCTAGATGCAAAAGCTGTGTAACCCGGCCAGGTCAGTATCCCGACATGGACCCTAATGACGGCTGGCTCGTGGTGCGGAATTCTCAAGTAATGTGTGGCCAAATGGATAAGTCCACCGTAGGTCCTGGAAAAAAAGACAGCATTTTTTACGTCATTCTCCGAGACTATGGTCCAGATGAGGCTGTTAGTGCTATGAATCGCCTGGCGAAGCTGTGTGCGCGGTATCTGACAAACCGAGGGTTTTCCATCGGCGTCGGCGATGTATATCCAACCGCGAGCCTCAGGAAAGAAATCGACCATCTAGTCTCGGCTGCATATAAGAAATGCGACAACATCATTACGACGTTTCAGGCCGGGAGCCTAGAGAAGGCTCCTGGGTGCGACATGGAACAAACCTTGGAGAATTCTATATCCGGTGTCCTTAGCAAAGTCCGACAACAGGCCGGCGAACATTGCATTAACACACTGAGTCGCCATAATGCACCATTAATCATGGCTAAGTCAGGGTCAAAGGGCTCTGATATCAATGTGGCTCAGATGGTTTCTCTTGTTGGCCAACAGATTATCGGCGGTCAACGCGTGCCTGACGGCTTCCAGGATCGAAGCCTGCCGCACTTTCATAAGAATGCTCGTCAGCCTTCCTCTAAGGGATTTGTGAAAAACAGCTTCTATTCCGCGCTTCTGCCTACTGAATTTTTATTTCACTCCATCTCGGGCCGCGAGGGACTAGTTGACACGGCGGTGAAAACCGCAGAGACGGGATACATGTCACGGAGGCTCATGAAGTCTCTAGAAGATCTCTCGGTCAAGTATGATAATACCGTTCGGACATCCGGAGGCAATATTGTACAATTTCAGTTTGGCGCGGATAACCTTGATCCCGCGGATATGGAGGGCGCCGGTACACCAGTCCAATTCCACCGGACCTGGACTCACGCTGAAAGTCTCACTCGAGATGATGACGAACCTTCCTTGATGCCGCACGAGATTGGTGTAATCTGCGATTCTGTGCTAGAGCCATATCGTGGCCGCTATGTACGTAAAGGCCTGCTGCATAATGAAGAATTGAATTATGAAGACGACAGTGACTACGCCATTGACGAGCATGAAAGCGGGCGAAGATTCCTCAAATCAATAAAAAGCTACATTGATGGCTTAGCCTCCAGATTGCGCAAAGTGCGCACAATAGCCGGTTACCAAGGCAATACACCAATCAGGGAAACGGCTCAAGATCACGTCGATAGAACGGCCAAGGTGGCAGCGACAACCCTCAGGCTCTTCATCAGACTTTGCCTGGACAAGTTTACCAAGGCTCATGTCGAGCCTGGTCATCCAGTTGGCGCTGTTGGTGCTCAATCAATCGGCGAGCCGGGAACCCAGATGACATTGAAGACGTTTCATTTCGCCGGCGTGGCTGGGATGAGCATTACCCAGGGCGTGCCCCGAATTAATGAGATTATTAATGCGTCGAAAGCTATCAGCACCCCGGTCATCACCTGCCCCCTACTAAATAAGTGGCAGATTGAGGCGGCAAAGGTTGTCAAAGCACGCATTGAGAAGACATATATATCCGATATCCTTTGCTTTATCGAGGTTGAGTGGGATTCCAAAAGTGGTCATATTGTGATGCAAGTCGATACCGACACGCTTGCAAATATGCAAGCGGGAGTGTGTGTCTTTGATGTAGCACAAGCGATTTGCGATCAACGAAAGCTAAAGGTCCGGCCGGAGGATATTTCCGTTGATAAGGACATGATCTTTGTTCGTATCAGGGAAACCGACGATTTGCCACCACGAAGCAAAACCAAGTCAGCTGCAGAAGAGTCTAGAGACATGATGCTCAGGGCCAACTTTCTTCGTCGGACACTTCCGTCCGTACCCATCTCTGGCTACCCAGAAGCAACACGAGCCTTGATCGAGACCACCGAGGAAAACACGTATAGGGTCTTGGTGGAGGGCTATGGCCTTCGCGGGTGCATGGCCACAGAAGGTGTTGTCGGGACGCAGGTCCGGACGAACAGCGTGATGGAATGCGTGCAGATCCTGGGCATTGAGGCGGCCAGGACAACGATTGCGAACGAAATTGCCGAGGTGATGGGGTATATGGGCATTGATCTGCGACATATGCAGTTGCTAGCTGACGTGATGACTTACAAGGGCGAGGTTCTTGGCATCACACGGTTTGGCTTGTCGAAAACGAGAGGAAGCGTGCTACACTTGGCATCATTTGAGAAAACAGCCGATCACTTGTTTGATGCGGTCGCAGGCATGAAAACAGATCGCATTGAGGGAGTCTCGGAGTCCATTATCTTGGGGCAAACGATAAGTGTTGGAACAGGTGGGTTCGAAGTTGTTCGCTACCTGGGCATTCGGCCAGGCCATCTTTGTCAGAAACCAACCCTTTTTGAAGATTCCTGGAGGGCGGAACAAAAACGGAGGAGTAACCGTTCGGTTGCCCCGTTACTACAAGGTTGAGCAAAAAAAAAAAAAAAGGCCAAAAAGGAAACATACAACACTGGGGATTCGCCGGTCGTCTCCGACCCGACTACTAATCCAGCGCTCGCTAGATTGTCGTAGGAGATCGGACGGGATCCTGAACTCTGCTAGCGGCTATGGTCGTATGTGCTAGATGGGGCAGTATACCTGGGTTATAAATCCTTGCCAAGACAGTAGGCTTGCGATGCCGTTGCCCCATGTCTACATATCTGTCAACTTCCGCAGGAGTCAGAGCTTCCGGGGCTTCATTCAGACATTTCCTCTAAAACCTTTCTTTGAACAATAACAGGCCTCGGATTGCAGATTACGGGCGTTGGTGGAACGAAAACAAAAAACGGCACGGAAAAGCATTCGGTGCCCACGCCTCAGGTTTGGTGATATCTTCACCTCCAGGTATTTAGTAATATGAATGATATAGCCTGATTTCTTGAAGCTTGGCAAATATTATGTTGTACTATCCTTTAACATAGCTGCTAGCTCTGTCTTTTTTTTTTTTTTTTTTTTTTTGTGGAGCATAGACCATAATCTTGATGAAATAGGGGCGCGGAGCAGTTGTGGGTGGGCGCAAAAACTTATTCGATCTATTTCATTCTGCTTACGACAGTCAATAGCGGTTTCTCTTAGGTTCGGAGCATCTTTTAAGCTAAATACAGATTCTTTAGTGATGAATGGAACATGCTTGTGGTTGAAGTCGAATTCCGGATCCGGCAGTTTGAACCCAAACCCCTATGCCAAACCACGGTCCTGGCCGCCAGGTACCATCTCGTGTGGAATTTTCTCTTTGCGTATTTCGCCACCTGGTGCAGATTTCCTCTGTAATCTGTGAGGAGATAATCCTTGACGTGATGTGACCACATAACTGAGAACAAGTGACTTGACGCAAATTGCCCACCACGATCTTGAGCACGACTCGATAAAAAGATGGTGACTAGATGAATGACGATAGCGTTTGATTCGTCCCAAAAAATACTCACATTTTCTTTCCATTCAGGTGGTTATAAGCCCCGTACAGGTATTTAGCAAGACAATGCCCACGAGATGATGAGTTCAGCTCAATTGGGCCACTCTGGAATTTTCTGTAGAGTTTGAAGACCTCTACTCTCCCGGCAACTTGGAGTTTGGAACCATGATCTCCTTTGGTCATGCAAAGTTTACTAAGTTGCTCGATTTCTTGCCCTTCTCGCCGCATACAGGGTAGCTATTAAGTGGCTAGCCCACTTAGTTGCCAACGGGTATGTCTTGAAAAGAAACGCAAAACACAATTGGTCGATTCACACGCCAGACATCCAACAGCCCCACATCTCCGTGACATCCAACCTCAGAATCCATCTGCAGCATTTACATCTCCAAGACTCCCCTTCCCCCCACGGGTGCATGTACATTGCGCGCTGAAATGCGCGAGTTCATGGACTATGTCCACAGCGCATTCTACGAGGCGACAGGCTGGCGTCGCGACAACTCGTACGCCGCGCTGAATGCCACATCCGACGGTTCGCACCCGGAGACTTGATTCTTCGTCGGCCCCCCTACAATGCGCTGACAACTGCCGCCCAGCTCTGCTAGACTTCCAGACCCCTCGAGGTCTGCGGCTGACACTCTCCTCCCTTGCGAGCGCCAACTTTGCGACCTCGTACCAGCTCGGCTCGGTCGGCGTCGTCGACGGGTCCATATCCTACCTCTTCTCGTCGGTTCCGCTACGAGTCCACATCACGCCGCAGTCGGAAAACGTCTCGCTCCCAGAACTACTGCGCTCGTACCGCCCGCTCACCCCGCTCTCGCCACGGGACGAAGAGTCCCTCCGGACGCTGCCGGACGCGGCCAGACCCGAGTCCTCCCTCCTCTACGGCAGACTGTACCTCCCGCAGTCGCAGCTCGAGGCCCTCGTGGTCAGGAGGCTCTCGCCCGCGCTGCAGCTCCAGCTCAGCGCCGTGTCGGCAAAGCACCTCCGAGACGGGGGCACCGTCCTCGGCCTCGCGCAGTATGACGTTGGCAGATACGCCTTTGAGGGCCTGGCCTCGTCGGACGGGGGACTCCTCGGCCTGCGGGGCATCTACAACTTTGGCGGCGACGCGCACCCGTCGTCCGCGGCCGAGGGCGCCAACCACGGTGAGAAGGAGCGCATATACGGGCGCTTCAGCACCGGCGGCGAGATATACTACGGCACTTTGAACAAGTCGGGCGGCGTCAGCTTCGGGACTCGCTTCGCCACCCTGCCCGCGCACAACGGCACCCCGCTCTCGGCTACCCTGACCATCAACCCGCTCATGGGAAACATTGCCGCGAGCTATGCGGTCGTCGCCGGCAAGCACTGCAGCCTGGCGACGCGCATGGAGTTCAACGTCTTTAGCTACGAGAGCGCGTGGGCTGTAGGCATGGAGCTCTGGAGGAAGCCCCTGCGGCGCCTGGGTGTCGAGGGTGACGGGCCCTGGGAGAAGTATAAGGAGAGGAGTTTCCAGGCGAAGCTGGAGTGGCGGCTGGGGGAGGACGGGGCCATGCATCTACAACTTTGGCGGCGACGAGCACCCGTCGTCCGCGGCCGAGGGCGCCAACCACGGTGAGAAGGAGCGCATATACGGGCGCTTCAGCACCGGCGGCGAGATATACTACGGCACTTTGAACAAGTCGGGCGGCGTCAGCTTCGGGACTCGCTTCGCCACCCTGCCCGCGCACAACGGCACCCCGCTCTCGGCTACCCTGACCATCAACCCGCTCATGGGAAACATTGCCGCGAGCTATGCGGTCGTCGCCGGCAAGCACTGCAGCCTGGCGACGCGCATGGAGTTCAACGTCTTTAGCTACGAGAGCGCGTGGGCTGTAGGCATGGAGCTCTGGAGGAAGCCCCTGCGGCGCCTGGGTGTCGAGGGTGACGGGCCCTGGGAGAAGTATAAGGAGAGGAGTTTCCAGGCGAAGCTGGAGTGGCGGCTGGACGAGCCTGGACCTATTCCGCCGCGGCCGCCGCCACCACCACCACCTTCAGAACCGGGCAAGATATCGACGGTTCACAAGGGGAAAACGGGCGAGGAGTATGCGGGTGTTTTGAAGGCGAGACTGGACCAGAACTGGAGGATTGGCATCTTGTGGGAGGGCAGGGTGAAGAGCCTGCTGTTTAGTTTGGGGAGTGGCATTGACCTTAGGAAGCTAGATAAGCCGTTCAGGACGTTGGGGTTGGAGATTCAGTTCTCTTCGTGACAGGCTGTTTAGGGCATGGTACATGAGTGTATGAGTAGATGCCTAATTTCTGTATTCTATGTGGGCAGAGTATATACAAGTTACCTCGAGTACATGTCTTCGCTTTACAAGTCTAGCTGGTTTCGGTCTGGCGATGCCGCGGTTTCTGAGGCTGTGTATACATCCGTCGGGAATAATGCATCGCAACGCTTCAGTTGGTCGCGATGTTGCGTTCATGCACGTAATACCCCTTGGGGTTGGCTGGGTGGTGCCATTAATCAATTCATCCTATGCGTAGTTGAGGAGGTGGTGTCGACAGATCCACATTGATACATTTGTGAGCCGTGCCACCTCGCGGCGTTGTTAGTCGTCTGCATTGACACGACGAGTACTTGATAGGCAGGATTTACCACGTGTATGTCGGTAAATGATCACTTCGGAGTAGATTACAACACCGTCCATCTCTGGTTCTCAAAAGGAAATGCAGCAAGTTCTGTAGCGGTTCTGGAAGTTTCATATGTGTGACATAATTACTTTGCTAGATGCAATAAATAGCATGCCAAGCCAATCACGGATCAGCGGCAAACTATTTTGCGAAGGCGGTACGGAATAACGGAATAGAGTTCCAGATGCATCCCAGTACTAAGACGAAGCTTGGTGCATGTGAGCTGCCACGATGCTTGTCATCTGCAATGCAATATAAAAGTTTGATCCCTGCGTTGGTCGAACGTCGGAATTGGACGGGCATTCTGCAGTGTTGGCTATGAGAAGTTGGCTACATGCATGTTTGTGTTGTTGTGATGGTTGCCAGTGTATGAAGTGGTGCTATGCGAAGGATGCCAGGCCTGGGAAATGGGAGGCGAGGGAAGCTCAAGACGGACAAAGACCTTTTGATTAAGACTTCATACCAAGTCGAATAATTCACCAAGCCCTCGGAGCTAGGTCAGCTTGACGGGCCATATTTAATCGCTAATGCCCGGAGAGTTTGACTGCTGGTGCATGGGGGCTGACACCTTCACCCACCCCGGGGTTATGCAGGCACAGCTGCTAATCCGGATGACGGACTCTCTCGGTCTTTGAAGCCCTGTTTCAAAGAAAATCGAGCGAGCGAAGGATGTGAGCTGTGCGTAGGCAACAATTGCACTCATTATGCTGGGAGCCAACCCTCACATATCGTGGACTCGAAACTCGTGGATAGCTATGGCTGCGTCGTAAGCACTGACTTCATCGTTTTTTTTGTCTTCGATTGATTCGACCAAACCTAAAGCTTCTGTTATTGGGCCAGGTCATGTAAACCATGAGTCTGGTGGGATCGGAACGTCGGGGTGTGTAGTTCTTTGCAGGCCAACACTCTGACACCCATGCAAAGGGGATGCACGTACCATGTCATGTATGACAGAAGCGTTGGTGCTACCAGAACCTGGCCTCGATACCAGCATCCTATGAAGACAAAAGCTCCTGAAGGACCCTTCGACGCAAACGAGGCGCTTGCCTAATGATGGCTGTCATAGCGCGCGACGGTTCCATTGAGAAATCGCTGTTTTCCTCCACCATTCCCCGCTTTTCGAAAAAAAAAAATCTGTCTTGTGAGGCATCATATCATTGAGGTTTGGGGTCTGGTTCGTTCCTGCTGCTATGTTGTGTGACTATGCCGTGACTGCTGAGCATCTGGATAAAAATCTCTTGGCGATCCCGTGCTGTCTACGGAGTACCAAAATTCTTTCTTTAGAACTGGAAATGGCGAGAGTGCAGCCACCTGGCTGTTGTGGCAGTCCTTTGAAGCCCGGCCTTGAGGCTGAGTGTGCTGTCAGTCGTACCAACCCGGCACAAGTAGGGGCGTGGGGACGGGAGCTGTGAACCTTGATGGCGCGCTCTTGGCGCTTCGGTGGTAGGGGCGTCCGCAAAGCCAGTGGCGTAGCCAATCAGAGAGCCGGCAATTGGGTGCATCGCGTGTGGCGCATGACTAAACCATTGTCTTTGATATTGAGAGAGTGGCATGCATCCTTGGAAATATCAGAAACAATCAAAGGTAGGGCTTGAGAATTGTCTAGTATACTGATAGTACTGGTCTAAGAAGCAGACAGTCATCACAGTCGTCGCGCCGGAGTAAAACAGGCCAAGTCAACAGACCGTTGCGTGACAAGAGTGAATCGAGAAACTCTCCAAGTTTTTTTTTCTTAAAAAGGATATTCGACCAACGATAGGACTGTCATGAGACCACGGGATATTCCAAGAAATAGCTCGGTCCGGGATTTAGTCAATAAAGGTGTCGTCGATCCACGATTCAGCAAAGTGGACGGGGTCAAGTCGTAAATTGGGTGGATTTGGTCCCAGGTGCCAGTTCAAACTCTGGAGCCCATCAAGGTTCTCACGACGCTGTCGCGGTCTAATCCAGCTTCCCACACCACTCCTCGCATACACCTACCCATCTTACTGCCTCAGATCGGTTCGCCTTCCTTCATTCTGTCAGCCCGAATGCGGTCCAGCGCATGCCAGCAACATCCCAAACTGCGCACTGGCAGATTCCATCGGGCCAAATCCCTCTCAGCAGCCCCAGTCCCTACGCAACCACGCAATTATTCCGTATTAACTTTCCATACTTGCAGGCGGTGACAGGTCCTGCGCATGCTTCATCCCTACTTGCACCACTTGTCGCGCTCCTAGACATCGTATCATTCGACTTTTCGCAGCCTTCACTTCGTGCTGTGTTCCATTTTGGTACTTACCTGCAGCCTTGTGTCAGCTGAACACGCCTTCTTCGCCTTGGTTCATTCTCATTGGGTTATCTCTGAGGCACGCCAGTTCGGGTCGTCTTTTTGGCTGATCGCTGTCGCAGTCTGTTCGGTAGCAGTTCAGAGCACAGGACAACAAGCCCACGTGCAGCAAACGCATCATATTAGATAAAAAGGATAAAAGGGATCCTGAACCTTGCACTCCTTGGACGTTGCTCCCACCGCCAGCGGCCTCATGGGAAAAATCCCGTCTACAACGGTCCCTTCCTCTTCGTATCTGAGTATCGAACATTATAGCAACCGGCTGTTCAAGAAAGACTCTCGACAAAGGGCAACCTTCTGCCGATTCCCCCAATCGCAATCTGTTTGATTTTGGCCAAGGTCATCATCTGGCCGTGTCTGTGGCGCATCAACTGGAACTGAGTGGACCATATCCCTATTGAATCCGATCCATCAAGGTGTTCGCCTCGTTGGTGTATCCTGGTCTTTAAGCCCTGCTGAAAATCGGACCAGACACTAGCATTGGCCCGGACCAGACGACTGGCGAACCGTGGAGTCGGGTTATAAGGCTTCCCATTTCTCAAGTCCCTACTCCGGAGAATAACTTTCAACTTAGACTCAATTCGAAAAGTCGTTGCCGTTGTTTCGTCGCGCCGAGATATAATCGGGCGAGGTTGAAGAGAGGACTTGATTGTCTCGGAAGCGTGTGGTGCGATTGAGAAGAAGAAAAGACCGCGTGAGTTTGCGGCTACGATAATCGTGGAAAATCAACGCTGGCCTTATACCCTCAAACACACTCAACAACAGCGCATCATCATGGCTGAAGAGGAGCAGAGCAGTTGCGATGGCTCACCCGTCGACTTGGGAATGCTTGGTCTTCGCATTGCCGCCATTTTCATCATTCTCGTTGCTTCCCTTCTTGGAGCACTCACCCCCATTCTCTTGGCTCGCCAGACCAAGATGCACGTTCCGAAATTCACATTCTTCATCTGCAAATATGTCGGTACCGGCGTCATCATTGCCACGGCCTGGATGCATCTTTTGGATCCAGCAGTTGATCAGCTTGGGGACGCTTGTGTTCAGGAAAGATGGCTTGGCACGTACCCTTGGGCTCTATGCATTGCTCTGATGACCATCATGGTCATGTTCTTCGTTGAGCTAATGGTAGCCCGTTTTGACGACGACGACGATGTCGCCCGTAACCAAGCAACTGGCTCCGACTCTGGCTCCGACCTCAATGAGGTACTGGCCATTAAGAGATCCCCAAAGCCGCAAAAGGACAAGAATGTTCAGGCTGAGCCATGTCCCCATGATATCGAGAATCAAGGGGCCCTCCGTGGGCCCGATCCAACTACCATCCCAGGTCGCCCTGATGATGTCAGCTACCCTCCTGGCGGCGAGGATCATCTTGCGCATCGCCATGATCACAGAGAAGGGGACTCGCACACCTCGTTGTCCGGCCAGCTGACGGCAATCTTCATTCTCGAATTCGGTGTCGTGTTTCACAGTATCTTTATCGGACTTACCCTCGGTACCACCGGGTCGGATGATTTGAAGGTTCTTCTCGTTGTCCTTGTTTTCCATCAAATGTTTGAGGGTCTTGGTTTAGGATCCCGAATCGCTGTTGCCGAATGGCCTGAAAGCAAACAGTGGTTGCCATATGTCCTGGCTCTTGGATTCGCTCTCTCCACTCCTGTAGGTGTTGCAGCTGGTGTTGGTGCTAAACCGGCAAACGCTGCCACCCAGAAGCTTGTCAACGGCATTTTTGACTCCATTTCCGCTGGTATCCTCATGTACACGGGACTGGTTGAGCTTTTGGCTCACGAATTCATGTTCAATCCTCACATGCGCCGTGCTCCGCTGAAGATCCAGTTATTTGCTTTTGGATGTATTGCCTTTGGTGTAACCGTGATGGCATTGTTGGCAAAGTGGGCTTAGATGTCAGGCTCGCAAAAGAGCACGTCATATGCATCGAGGATCGAGGGACGTGCTAATTGGAAGAGAGCATATTGGATATGAACGGGTACATGTTGGGTGCAATCTATACCCGCCCTGAAAGAAATACCTTTGATAGAGTCTGATTTTTTAGCGAACTGCACATTTTACCTTGACGGTTGGTCTTGATACATGTTGAAACATTTGTGGAACAAAGAATACGAAGATCAAGTATTCGCATATGGCACACTGCGCTATGACGTGTTGTAGCATTTTAATAAAATTAAAACTTCATATGACGATGGGGAATGAATCACAGCCTGGAATGCAAACCATCCTAGAGGGTCAGTGATCAAAGAGATGCATCCTAGTAGCCTTGGGAGTCAAGGGGGTGGCAGAAAACAGGAGACACTCTGTCTATGTAAGTGAGTGGTGAGTGTCTCGTGTGTTTCTGCTACCCGCGTGGGAGAGACATGATGTAGGTACAGGTGCTCATCCGATACTAGCCCCTACTCACCCGATACTACCCGAGGGTCGTGAAGACATGATATGAGGTGCGGGTGCCCACCCGATATTAGTCCCTACCACCCCTAAGAGTTTTAGCGGTTAGGGTTAGTGGTTGATGTAAGGGTTAGGGTAAAGAGTCTGGGTTAGCCTAGTGGAGCTATCTCGGATAGGCAGCTTAACCTTGGGGGAGTGAATCCTCAGCTTGAACATCCGTACTAGTTGCCGTGGACCCACCTGTACCGTGCGTGCGTTGTGTTTCCAAACATAGACTGCTCGTACACACGGTGCTTAGTCACGCAGAGAGCCGTGACCCACTAGGGCCGTAAACCCTAGCGTTAATCGAAAAAGTTCACCCACCCAGACGTGCACCTCCAGGAACATTCGCAGACCTTACGCTTCGACAATCTCCTGCCCAACGCAACTCCTCACAACCACCCGTCCACCCTCAACACCGTAAAAATGGCTGGCGGAATTACCGTGCGCGACGTTGATGTAGGTCCTCCCTGAGAGCAGAACAAAGAACATTGTTGCCCGCTCGTCCAATTTCACGACTCTCTCGAGATGCATTGAGCGATGATATTACCTCTGCCATCAACAGTCCCTCGCGACTTGTGAGACCCACAAACCCAAGACGAATAGACAACCTCTTGCGACCTCTACTACAAACAATGTGGATTGCGCTGAGCTGTTTCGCCCCGCCGCAGATTGGATCTTCAATACTTGAGAAGCAATGTATTTGAGCCCGCTGCGGCGGCTAGACGGGTGGCCGTTCCGTTGGGACTAGTAGATTCGAGGTTTGACAGGAAGATTGGGAATTGAGGAGCAGGCGCGAGGGAGTCGCAAGACTTCTGAAGACGGAATATGCTAATGGGTTTCTTTGTCTCCAGGCGCAGAAGTTCATCAACGCCTATGCTGCGTTCTTGAAGCGTCAGGGCAAGCTGCCCATTCCCGGTATGTTTTTGACCCGATCCAAGAACAAGCTTGGTTTCTCTCGACGAGTTTTCTAACAAGTAAATCTCCCCCACTCAGGTTGGGTCGATACCGTCAAGACTGGTCCCGCCAAGGAACTCCCCCCCCAGAATATTGACTGGTTCTACGTCCGCGCCGCCTCTGTCGCCCGCCACGTCTACCTCCGCAAGACTGTTGGAGTCGGCCGTCTTCGCAAGGTCCACGGCACCGCCAAGAACCGCGGCTCCCGCCCCTCCAAGCACGTCGACGCCTCTGGCTCCGTCGACCGCAAGATCCTCCAGGCCCTCGAGAAGATTGGCGTCCTCGAGCAGGACGAGGAGAAGGGTGGCCGCCGCATCACCCAGTCTGGCCAGCGTGATCTGGACCGTATCGCCCAGACCACCGCTGAGGCCGACGAGGAGGAGGAGGATGAGGAGTAAAATGCAACAAAAAAACACCAAATCACATTCCGCGCAGAAGTTTCGAGAGAAACTGGTTAGACACTTAACCATGGCCTGAGGAGAAAATCTTGGAAGCTTTTTGCTGCATAAAAAATATGTTTTTGTCTCTTTTCCGGGAATGAGTGGCATGGCATGGGCTTTGGGCGTCTTGGTCTTAGATTTACGTATGAATGAGATTCCCCCGACTTTGGGTCATTCGGTTGATCAATTGGACCCGTCCACACTATGAGTCTTTCGTCTCTGCAACTGATGTGCCGTGACCCTTGTTGGATGTATGAGCCTTCTCCCTCAGGGTTCGTCTTGAGTTGGGGCAGTTTCTTTGCCGCTATTGAGCATCTTGCCCAATGTGGTTTCTATTCACAGCTGCTCAAACAGTGGCAAGCAGCTGATTCCCTGCTTAACACCATGGGAGTCAGCTGTAGACATCACGCACAGCTGCAATCCGTCATCACACCAACCACGTCACCATGACTTTTTATCTTGTATTTTCCCTTGTCAGCTGCGGCAGCTGCGAAAGGCCTTTGGCCTATCTAGCTACATATATTCACCTTTCTCACGACTTTCATGACCTCCACGATGCCTCACTTTCTTCCATTCTTCCTCCAGCCACCACCACCAGATCAGCATTTAATTCCTCGCCCTCGTCACTCCCAGCGTCATGTTTCTTATCCTTGTTTTTAATTTCGTCCACTTGTACAAGTGTATAGTACTACCCAAGTGTCACTCTAGTCTATGTCAGGTCTACCCAACTTTATCGTTATCTTCAAGAAAGCGCATCTATTCCCCACGCCACGGTTCACCACGCGCCCTTGTCCAACTAACTCTATGCAAAGAAGCTCCAAAGTATACCACTATAAAGCAAGACACCATATACCACTCACAGTCCAACGCATCAGTTTCATCCCAAAGGGCAAGCTCAGCTGGCATATCTCGCCCGCTCCTCGCTTCCACCATCTTGGCAACGCCAGAGACAATCACCATGGCCACCAGCGATTCTCCCCCGGCACCAAGCACACCTCCAAGCGAGGTTCCCACGCCCAAGTTCGACAGAAAGTTTAAGCCCAACGAACAAATATTCTACTTCTACCACGTCATTGACGCTGAAAAAGCGACTCTACAAAGCCTGATTCTCGGGCCCAACGTGTCCAACACCTTCTCCCACGCCCAGGCAGCAACATACCATACTGCGTCTGACATTGAAGCCGCTCTCGCCCGCAAAACAACGGGCTTCCTCGCGCTTCTCCAGCCAGGCACCAGCCCGTCCCGCACGATCCTCGCATGGGCGGAAAGCGGCCACGGGCACAACCCCCGCGGGGACTTTTTAGACCCGACATCCTCGGTCCTGTCAAACAAGCGGTGGACGGCGCGCGCCATGAAGCTCGCCAAAGAAATAGGCATTAACATGGGCCACCCGTACGACCGGCTCACCCTTGACGGTAAAGTGGGCATGTTCCGCGCCAGCCACGTAGAGGTGAAGCTCGCCGTCCACGCCGTCTATATACTCCTCAAGATGGCTGCGATGCCTACGGATCGGGTGACGAAGGCGGATCTAAAGAGGTTGCGGGCGAGGGCGTGGTGCGGCGGCGCCAGGCCGCGGTTTGAGATTTACTTTTCCAAGAAGAACTGCCCCGCGTGCGCCAAGTACGTGCGGCGGCTGGAGGAATTGACAGGTGCGGAGATTGCACTCTGTTGGAAGCAGAGGCTGGTCAAGATTGAGTATCCTAAAAGCAAGGTGGGTTCGGTGGAAGATGCCCAAAGGGAGGTTATACCCGTGGAGGGGTCGGAGAGCGAGGAACAGGCACAGGGGCAGGAGGACGTGACTGAGATGCAAATGGTGGATCTCACGGACGACACGGACGATGTTGGGTCGCAGGTGTCGGAGGTGGTTGAGGTGACGCCCGAGCCGCTGGGCGTATATGTGAACGGTCTCGCGTACTGCGTCGGCCAGATGGGGGACCGGGGCAGAGTCATGCGCGCGGTTGTAGGCCTGGCCAAGATCTGGAAGAGACAAGCTGCCATGAGGGCAAACGTGCGACCACGGCGTCAGAACAGCGGCAGCGACGGGGGACCGACGAAGGAGAGAGGAAGGACTTGGCTTGCTACGCCGCCCGCCTCGAATGTACCGGGGCAAACACAGGGCACCGCACGGGCTGGGTTGGAGAGCCGTGGTGCCGAGAATGAAAATGCAGTTGTTGGAGAAGGATGGCCGCAACAGTATCCCTTCGTTTGCAGAGACAAGGTGTCGCCAGGTAGATGATCAATACCGCGACTTGCTATTATACGCGCTCTCTAGAATGATTACCAACGAGGAAAGTTTGAAACCAGTGCCTGGTTTTGTGACAGCTGATCAACCCAAATCCGCTCACGACTTTATTGCCAGCTCCCTCACCTCATTCCTAAACCGCGCCCCCAAGGCGCTCACCACAACACTCACATCCGGCGCCTGGACACCGCCTCCTCCCACATTCCGTTCCAGCCTCTTGCCCCCGAGTCCCGTCTTCCCCATTGTAGTAATGTGCTTGACGTCCTTGCCCCTTCTCACCGCACCCTTTTGTGTCGGAGGCGTGATGAGCGTCTCGTCAAGCAACGACTGCCATCGATCTAGATATACACCCGGACCACCCGTAGTTCCGCCCGAGGAATCGGCCGCCGTGACAAGGTATTGCATTCGTGCGTGGGAGATGGCGTTCACGGTGTCGAGATAGGCGGCGTGGGAATTGATTGCTTCGAGAACTTGGGACTGTGTATCCGGCTCGAGGGTTGCGAAGAGTTTGTCAAGTACGGAATGGATGTCCGATGAGGGATCTGATGGCTTTCGAAACCGCACAATCATGTCATTTCCCCATTTGCGCAGACTCTCCCAGATATCAGGGCATTGGCTCGCTACAGCGTGGATCCATTTATATAGCAGTCGTCGATGCTTCATGAGGAGGTCGACGTAATCCTCCACACTGGCCAGTTTCTCCTCTACCGAGCCGTGCGGCTTCTTCGGCCTGCTCGCCCTTATAAACTCCTCGAGAAATACTTGAAAGGCGTCAAAGTGTTCTCTCAAGTCGACACGCGAATGTACAGTCCGAATCATGGGTTCATAGGCAGCGACAACATCCTTGATCGCCTGCGTAAACATGTCCGGGGGCTGGCGACAAATGGCCCCCGTAATGGAGTCTCTATCCCTGACGGACAAGAGCGCAGAGTAATACTCGAGACACTGGGCGTGCTGGGCCTCTGTCAACAGGCCATTAAGCGCTGGACTCCTTGCATTGAAAATGGCTGTGATGATCGACTGCGAGTTCTGCTGGCTCGCTTCCCTGACCGTATCGTGTTCCGACCTCGTATCTTCGATGTGCTCCCTGATGGTGCGCAGCATTTCATCAGTCGGTCCGTCCTTGGCCTTTTCCACCTTTTCTGCACTCTTCTTGAACTCACTCGCGTCCCAGGATAAGACTGCGGCTATGATACGCTGTAGTAGGTTCATGCCGTCGTCGGCGTTTTGCGTGAGACCGACCCAGTTGGTTACGCTGGTCACGCTGAGTTTGGCGAGGAGAATGCGCATCATGCCGCTTAGCATGGTGGCTGCGTTGCCTATGCGCAGTGTTGATTTGAGGAGTGCGTAGGGGATGAGAGAATGCACGTTTTCGAGGAGTTTAAGGAGGTATTGGCCTTCAGGTGAGAGGATGAAGATTTGGTGGACTAGGGTTGCGATGCTGGCGAATCTTGTTAGTATACATATGTCCACAGGAAGTGAGACAACGGGGCAAAGAAGCGACGAACTGGAAAATGTTGTGGCGGGCAGAAGCTTCCACGGTTGGAGATAGGCTTTCTAAATCATCCGAATGCACAAAATGGTCAAACAACTGATTCACCAAGTCGCCGTAGACCAATGCCTGAATAACATTGCCCCAAGCACGCTCCAAATCATCCGCACTTGTGTGGTCATACTCTGCATCCTTGATACTTGACTCTTGCTTGTCGACGCCGCCCAACATTCCGCGACCCAGCATCTCAATAACCGCACTCGTCCCCGTAGCCAAGGTCTTTCGCGTTCCCATGGCGCCCTTGTCGTAACTCTCCGACAAGTCTGCTTCTCCTAATCTCAACATGATACCCTGTACGCGAACACTCCAGAAAGACCTGGGGATGTCGCTCACACCAGGCAGAGGGAGAACAATCCTCGTCAAGAGCAACTGTAGGATGGGCGATGTCGAAACAATATCCTGGTCGTCATCCCCGTCCAGACTCTTGGTACCGTTGGTGGGACTTTGTTTCCTGGCTTCTGACGAGGTAAACCACGATATAGGCGTCCTCGCGCGCGGCGTACTCGGGGCAGTGGCGAAAGGCGTAGTCGATGCCTCGCAAGCTTTCATGAACGGAAACCCATAGCTGGTGATGGCTGCAGATGTCTTGAAGCTTGATATTTCGGCATATGTCTCATAGTGAGTGAGAATATCAAAGAGAGCTCGCGTCTGCGTATGTGATAGTCTAGTCGCAGGCTCAGGCGCGGATGGAGTCGTCGCCGTCCCTGTCGCCCTCGCTGTACCTGGATCTGTGGGCATTGTGAAATATGACGGCCAAAGGCGAAAGGAGGCCAAGTCCAGACCCAACAGACAAAGGACAAAAGACGACGAGGGACCACCAACCAGGGTGGCGATAGTCGAGGCGCGAGGATCAAGTTACCTATGTGCCTAGGTACGTAACAACTGATGACGGAGGGCTTTGAAACAACACAACATCTACGTAGTTGATGAATACACCCGAGTGTCCAGATCGTACAGGAACAAAACCTGGACAATGTGTGTGGCGTCCCCAGGAACATGCATCACACACACACACAGCACTTGTAAACTGACGTCGTCACAAGGAGCCCCACCACAACTCACTCCACCCCTGGCTGGGTCGTTGGAGCCTCACAAGGAAGATATCTCGTCGTATTAGTCATCAACACTGTGCACAAACGATATTTATTTGTAGTACTACCTTAGCAGATTCAATTCATAGGAGGACTCAAGGAAATTAAGACTAGTTCAACTTTGCGTCGCGTAGCATCCTGCACATCCTTCTTTTTCTTCCCAAAACAAAATACGTCTGTTCTACTTCATTCCAAAGCCATGGTATCACAATCACAATGTGAGGGCGCATCCTGCTGACTCAATGGGTATAGCGTCTGTGTTTCCCCGCCCTCGTCGTCATAATTCTTCATGAATAGTATCGACTCATCGGCACATCCCTAACGCCCACCGATGGTCTGGTGAACGTTACCGGCATTGACATCCAGTGGCGCCGCGAGTGGGGTAGACGACAGAGGCGCCTTGCCATTGACAATGTTCACATTAGCGTTGGGGTGAACGTTGGTGCTGCCGTTAGTATGGCCATTCGTCCGTCCGTTGGTCGCTGGTCGAATCTTGTTTTCGATTTTGGGAGCAGGAGGTATATCAGTGCTCCTCTTGGCGCTGCCAATGGAAAAGACGGGGCTCTCCCACTTGTCACCTTTTCGTGAAAGTTCCTTGTACTCGGTTGCCTTGGAACTGACACCGCCAGCCATCTTGACCTCGGGGAAGATGCTGTCCTGCAGCGTCATGGCAATGTTGACCTTCTTGTCTGATGCAACCTCCTTGGTTTTCTCCTTGCCCTCCAAATAGCGCTTCTGGGCCGCATCATAGTAACGTTTAAAGAAGTTGGCCTTGTCCTCAACATCGCCGGTATTGGCTGCGTCAGCATCCTTCTTGATCTGCCAGAGGAGGGAGTCGAGCTTGTTAAACTCGTCCTTGATAGCCTTCTCCACTGCCTTCTGAATAGGAGCGCGGAGGACCTTGAGAGCGAGGGGCTTAACAATCGCAAACAGGAGCTTGTGGTTGGACTTCTTGACCTTGATTTTGAGACCCTTGAAGTCAACATCCACCTTCTCAACCTTGAAGATGTTCTGACTGTCGGATTTGTGAGCCGTGGCAACCTTCATCCTGAACGACAGGCCATTCCCAGGCAACAAGATGTCAAGAACACCAGTGTCGGACAAGGATGGAAAGCCCTTCTTTCGATTAACATGGAAGTTGACATCGCGGAGATCCATCTGGACGCCCGAAATTTTAACGTCAACCACGTTGTGATGCTTGTTGGCAACCTTCTTGCGGCCCCAACGGAAGAAGTGCTCGCTCGACACTTCGGCAATGTTAGGCATAAAGTTGTCACTCTCAAGAATCAAGTTTTCGATTATAGCATCAACTTGCGAGTCCGAGTACTCAATGCGAGGGATTGGGATGTAGTTGATGTTCATCAAAACGGCAGGGAGGATAGTATCTGTCAAGTCCTTGACGAGGTGTGGCTTAAAGACAGACTTCCCCGCGGAATCGTTTCCAAGGTGATTGAATAGTTTCTGCACAGCATCGCCGAAGGCCTTATTCTGGGGGTCTTGGTCGAACTGGTCGGCAATGAACTTGGTCTCGTCGATGACACGGTCAGTGTGGCTGCGGTACTTCTCACGGAGCAAGAACCTGCCCTTCTCATAGACGCGGTTCCACTCCTTGTTGGAAGACTCGTCGAGAATGTAGCCTTGCTCCAGCAGGCACCGGCGAATAAAGTTATCCAGGCTCTTAAACCAGTCCTTAAGCTCAGAATCCTTGTCCGCATCCTTATAAATCTGGCCGATGGATTCCCAAAGATTCGAAGTAGACGTTCCATTGGCAAATCGCTCAATCAGTGTACGCAGATCAGCCTCGGCAGCTGCGAATCCAGAGCGAGCCTGCTTAGCAGAGCCGGTAGATTCCTTGCCCAGGTCGCGTCCATGGCCTCCATAGGTCTCGGCTAGGCGGAGGAGAGTCTGAATGGCCTTGGAGTATTCAGGATGTTGCTGGCACTCAAGCACCATCTTCTTGAGGCGGAAGATTATTTGGTCCTTGCGCTCCTCCGGCATCTTCTTGTTGAAGTACTCCTTGGCTCTTCGACGATATTCCTCTTTGCTCTTCTTGATCTGCTCCTTGGTCTCCGGGTCTATCTTCTCGTCAACCTTCTGCTGCACGGCACTCTGTGCAGCAACAGTGTCGACTCTGCCGGAATCTACTCCCTGGGGCAGTGCAGCATTAGTTGTGGAATTGGCAATGTCCTGCGCGTCTTTCTTCGGACTGCCGCCATAGATGCCCTTGGCCTGCTTTCTAAGGTTCTCTTTCGAGAAGTCGGGTTTGTCGTGCCAGGTATTATCTTCGGCGGCCCGGTCCATTTCCCCGAGTTGTTCCTCCGACGGGCGGATGCGACCAGCAGCGCTAGTAG